ATAAAAATAATTTTATTATTTATTTTATGAGTACAAAAGTTAAATATTGATGTTATTTATTGGATTCAAGTATAAATGTTTAAGTATTGACGTTAAATGTTATGTTTAAATATGAGTTTTTATAATTTATTTGTAATATTGACCGGCATGAACCGGCACAAACCGGTATGTGCCACCGGTCGAACCATTCCACTTGCTAAACCGGCACACTGGCATAAACCGGTTTGACAACCTTATTGCGAAATGTTGAACCAGATTTAAGTATTTCTTATGTTAATTTATTCATTAATCAGTGAGCAAATTTGAGTTACTAAGTTCGCATTAGCTATCCCGGCCCAGCCCAATTTCATCTTTGACAAACTTAGACCTATAGGTTGGGCTAATTCAAGGCATGTGGGCTATGGCCCAATAATACCTAGGTGGCCAATATATATATATATTTTTTTGGCTCTGTGCAATGCAGTTCATTCTGATCATGACAATTGACAAATCATTCCAAATACGCGCGCATTATTTGCTTTCCGGATTTTTTTTTATTCTATAAAGTTTAAACACTTGGTTTATTGAATCCAAATAAAGAACTATATATTTGAAGATTGCTCACTTATTTTTGTATTGATTATCATCAGCATTATGTATATCTTTCTCTTTTTTTTTTTCTCTCTCGTATTTTGTAGAATAGGTATTTGTCATTAACAGACGTAACTATCCCTCTTTACAATTGATCGCATAGTAAGTAGCTGGTAATCTATTATCATGAACAGAGATCAAACATATAATCTCATGATTCAAGATCGAAACAATCAATCACTACGTTTCTACCTGCAAATAGATCAGTACAAAAAAAACCTAAATTTCGTCGGAAACGGAAAATAGCTATGTGGCACTCATCGAAAGAATGTTAGCATGAAAATCAGCAACAAAGTTGCATCCCCTGAACACATGAGAGATTCTAACCCCCAAATCAAAATTCAGCAAACGATTGATATCTTGAGCAAGCGGACCGTGTCGGTAATTACTAATTACTGTCATTGTTATTATCGATGATTGAAATTATTATCGATGATTGAAATTGCAGTAGAGGAGTCAAAGTTCAGCATCACCTTCCTAAACCCAGACCGCCATGCCGTTCAACATCCCCCTTCAATTCCACACTTGTAATCGTGCAATCGTGCAGGAACCCAAAGTTCATCTAACCCTCTACCGCAACATATTTATGTCACCAACAGCAAATCCAGGATAGGGTAGTGCACTGAGCCATATGTGAAAAGATACAGAGAGGACTGGGCCGTAACCCGACGAGAACATAAACGAATACCTAAAATCAAAAATTTACAAGGACTATACTAATTCCGAATTCGGGAAAGACTAGGCTGTGGCCCGGCGCGCCTCTAGATCCCGCGGTATGTCACACCGGTATTGATATGAACAACATTTTCAACGTATGTTTAACAAAAATAAATAAATTTTGTTTGCTGGGCCCACGGCCTGCCCACTCTTACTGAGTTTGCTTAAGCATTCTTGGGCTTGGTACATTTAGACTCGCCTTCGTAGCTACTCTGTTTTTTTTTTAAGGGTTATAGGTATAATATGCCCCTCTATTATGACGTTTTATCAAACATGCCCCTCTACTATTTTTTACATCAAACATGCCCCTGTACTTTGTAAAAATTATCAAACATGCCCTTCTGTTAAAATTTTCATCCAAAACCGTTAACCAAGGCCGAACTTTAGTTTGAGTGATACAAATTACTAAAATATCCCTAATAAATTCACTTTAGAATTTTTTTGGTTCTTTTGTATAATCAAATCATTCAAATTTATTTCACTTTGGAAAGACCCAGGAAAATAAAACAGGGGACCAAACTGACATTTTTCCTCCCATTTGCTGATGTCGGGTCGTCTAAATCTCAATTCAACCATGATTGACGATTTTTTCAATGGAAATTTTAACAGAAGGGCATGTTTGATAATTTTTACAAAGTACAGAGGCATGTTTGATGTAAAAAATAGTAGAGGGGCATGTTTGATAAAAAGTTATAGTTGAGGGGCATATTATACCTATAACCCTTTTTTTAATGCACGGCCCTCGACATTTTCCAACGGCACCAACGGTGGTGGGGATGGGCGAGTTTTTAAAGAGTCTTCGTGATAACCAAGGTTGTCAACCCGCGGGTTGATCCAGACCAGGTCGAGCTAGTACGGGGATTAGATAGGGTAACAACACCTTTTTTGTTGTTATAATAACAACAAATTTCGCTAGGGGCAAAAAAGTAAAACCAAATGAAATAAAGTCTTATAGAAATTTAAAATTGCGATCCGTACATCTTCTTCAACCCTGCCGCGTTTTCTCCTCCGCCTCTGTTTCTTCTACCACCAGTTCTCCCTGCAAATCTTGCAAGAAGATAGAGATAGGGATGATTCCCGTTCCCCTGCTTCCCACTTAATCACCGCCTAGGAATCGACATCTGGCGCCGGCGGGATCTGATTTTCCGTCGGCAGTGCTATTGGTGAAAACGGCGCTGCCTTAATTTCATTTGCGGCGGCGGGGGAAGATTCAGAGCTGCTGATTATTAACGGCACCCGAAAAGCTTCCTGGGACTGGAGTTCCTGATCCTGCTCCGCATCCAGGGCCTCCAAAAGAAGCCGGTGGGTTCGTGAGGATGTGGTGGTCAAGGATGACTATCATCCCTGTTTCAACGGGCATGGATTTGGGATCTGCGTTTGCTGCAATCTTCATGTACTTTCTATTCAGTTGAACCGAGTTTGGGAAATTCATTATCTTTTCATTGTGGAAGTCTGAAGTCTCCATTCTCATCTGACTCGTTCCCTTGAAGCCACATTGTGTCTGTTGCTTCTTATTATTAATAATAATAATAATAATAGATCATTGCTTCAATATTTTCTTGGTTTCAGGGGACTAAAGAGCAACTAAATTGATCAATTTGCATTCTCAATTGATTTTATTGTTGTGTTAACTAAAAATCCCACAAACCATACCACAAATATTTCTAAAATACACCAACAACCTCTTCATGTATACCACAAATCTCCCGAAACAAGTTAGAACCATTTTACAAGTAAACCACAAATATTTATAAAGCACACCAGAAAAGCTCATAATGCAAACTATAAATTTTTCGAAACGGACTAGAAATGCCACAGAGCAAACCGCGAATGTTCAAAGCAAACAAAAATTTGCTAATGCAGGCTACAATCATTTTGAAACATACGTGAAACACCACAAATCAAACCACAAATATTTCTAAAACAAACAAGAAACTTCCTAATGCATACAACAAATTTCTCGAAGCACACCACAAATCTCCTAATGTTTGAAACATATGAGAAATACCACAAAGCATACCACAAATTTTTCTAAAGCACAAAAAACCTTCTAATGCATACAACAAATTTCTTAAAGCAAACCAGAAACACCACAACCCAGACCGCAATATTCCTAAAGCACATCAAAAGCATCCTAATGCATACACAAATTTCTTGAAACAAACCAGAAACACCATAAAACAAACCTCAAATATTTTTAAAGCACACCAGGAACCTCCAAATGTAAACCACAAATCTCTTGAAACAAACCAGAAACACCACAAAGCATACCCCAAATATTTCTAAAACACACAAAAAAATCTTAAAACATACCACAAACACGAAAAAACAATCCACAAAAAACAGACCATAAACAAGAGAAATCAAACCACAAATCTCATAAAACAAATCACAAAATACATTACCATAAACAAGAGAAATCAAACCACGAATCTCATAATGCATACCACAAAATTCAACAACTAGTGATTGATGACTAAACTTCGGTCATCGACGGTCATTATAGCATGATGCACTATGTTTTCATGTGTGTCATGACATTATTATCGAATATAAACAAGTTATTTTATATAAAAAAAATTGTCCTCCAACTTACTAGCTCGACTCAATGCTAGTTTGTAAATTTACATCGAGTCTCTGATTTATCGATGCATTACATCTGATTCATTCTCTATGAGGGAATCAGAATTATTATTTCAAAATTTATCATTTCTTCATCTTGTTCATAGAAATTAATCTTCCAAGTGTCAGGTAGAACTAGAACTTTAGCTTTGCTGCTATTATTTAAAAAGAAAAGTCCATTCAAAATGGGCCTTGGATAGTGTAGGCGGCCTGCATGGGAGCGGGAAACGCTGATACTTTTTTGTAGGGATCGGACTATTATGCCCTCTTTTAATTTTACGGTAGACAAATTAGTCAACCAATCTCTAATAAAAAGTCAGTAAAACTCTAATTTTCTATTGGCTGATACCTCTGTTGTCACTATAACAACAAATAAAGTGTTGTTATCCTATCTAATCCCTCCTCATAAATTATATCAAATCTTGTCTAACATATGAGTCATAACATATAATATTACACCAAAATAACATATCGTACTTATATCCAACATATAATGAAAATTCACACACACTTATATAACATAAATATTCAAATGTTCAACTTAGGATTCCAAAGATTGAGTTGGGCGAAAAGAAATATCGGAAAATAGGCGCATTTCGCAAATCAAAGAAAAAATGACACAATTTGACCTCCAACCCGGTACCTTATAGCGGTCGACCCGGCGGGTGCATGCGGCCCGTTTTTCTCATCGGATCAGGGTCAAACTCCGCGGGTTGACAACCTTGATGTGGACTGTGGACTCTGCAAACTGCTGAGCTGAGTCCATTTTTTGCGTTTTGGATTGATCAAAACTCTTTTTTTTTTTAATTTATTGTGGAATTTCCATTTTTTCTATCGAATTCGAACTCTCCGTAGCTACCTTTTTTTTTAAATGCACGGGCCTCGACATTTTCCAACGGCACAAATGGATCAACCAACGGTGGTGGGGATGGGCGAGTTTTAAAAGAGCCTTCATGATAACGCAGTTTTGCGGCGAGAGATATACATGCGTGTCGTTTTTTTTTTGGGTAGAAAGCAGACGCAACTGCGTCCTATATCATATCATTAATCAAACGATTCCTGGAAATTCCCATAGAATCGTGGTACAACCAATAACAGAAGTTCGGGTCGCTCACATCGAATAGATGTGTGCCAAAAGGAGAACAATGACCCTTAGTAGCTAAGAAGTCAGCTGCAAAATTACATTCACGATAAACATGATTGAATTCAACAGTCCACTCCCTCAAAAGTAAGCTACTAAACTGCTTTGCAAGCAGCCCGTGACAGTGATCAGTATGATCTCTGTTTTTGATGATATCCAACGCTGTTCTAGAGTCCACATTCAGCTCAGCATTTCTGTAGCCAAGCTTCCAAGCAAGTTCCAGACCCTCTGCTGCACCCTTCAGCTCCGCCCTGGTGATAGAACACTTCCCGAGATTGCAAGTAAACGCCCCCATACATCTTCCAAGGTGATCTCTCAGCAGCCCACCTGCAGCAGCACTTCCAGAAGGTTGAAGGACAGATCCATCTGATTGGACCTGAATCCATCCCTCTCTAGAAGGTTTCCAAGCAATCTCATGACTTGTCTTGGTGGCATTTACCATCACGAAAAAAACGCAGCAAGGAAACAAAATTTTGTTTAATCTATATAAATGTTTTTATTTATTTATTTCGTGATTCCTTAGCCATTTCCCCAACGGCTATTACTATTTTATTGTATCACCAATCCACCACAGAACCCTCTGGAACTCTCAGGGCCGTTTTTCCCCCTCCGAGTGGGGTCCGGTCACACGTGTCAGAATACTACAGGGTAGCCGGACGAAGCCGCTGTTGTCGTTGTGTAGGTTGGGGAGGCTGACGGCGACGGGGCGACGGAACTTGGACGGCGGCTGACGTCACGACGGACGGTGGGTGGCGGGGTCGGAGACAAGGGTAACGTGAGGCGGTAGGTCACATCATTGCCAGGCTGTCAACCGTGCGACGCTGATCCGGCATCGTTTCGAACAATTTTTTTTGCCAATTTGTGGCTCCCTCCTCCCACGCTAATCCGGTGATTATCATCGTTAATCCAGCGGATTATGAGGTTTCGGGAGCTTGTTTGTAATTTTTGTATAGTATGGGGACTAAACTTACATTAATCCATTAAACAGAAGAAAACAATGATGTGCGTCGGTAAGGGACGAAAGAGGGAACTTTCCATTTACAGTCTACAGAGAATGTCTTCGCTCTGATCCTCTATCTTCTTCTTCCTCATGAATTTTAATGATATCCAAATCCCTATCTTTATACAATGATTTGAACACATGTGCTATTATTGTTTCTTTTAAATAATTGGAGAGAAAAAACTTGATTATGTATGATCTCAATGAGTGGATTATATTCGAGCTAGCTAGGGACACAATCAATAGTGCTATCATTCTTGTGATGAGGAGAACAGCTTGGATTAATGCATGCAAGTGCTGGCTCCTTGGCTAGCTAGCTAGTGGCTACTTCCTCTTCAATATAATATATGCCACATTCCAATGCATATATATATATATATATATATATATATATATATATATATATATAGTATATGCCCATAGCAAGCTTGTTTTTTTAAATAAACTTATATCATGCAAGCAAGAGTAAAATCAATGGTGGAGATTATGTGAAGCACTTATCTTGAACCGCTGAAAGGTCAAACCGATAACTTTTATAGAAGCTAGAAGCGTGTGTAGGTTTTCCAGCGAGATAGTAAACTCGTTTAAACGAGAGCCATCGATTTCCCATATTTACAGGGATGAACAAATGACATTATTATGCAAAGAAGTTTATTGATGTTTTTTTCTTTGATCTCTGCTAACACCCGATGTTGCTGTTAATGAGTTTGTACTTCCAAAATACAGGTGTTGAATTGAAAGATGATTTTTTTCCCCGAGAAAGTTGGCGGACGATGGACACTTCATCCTGTCACTGTACGTCGTCGGTGCCTAATAAGTTCTCATCATTATTAGTATTTGTCATGTGAACGATAAATTATGATACTCGTAACACTTAAGAACTCTAGATAGTCCTTTTCACCACATGCATATCCAAGGTTCATATGGAAAAAAAAGTGTTCTAATCTATATAAATAACATTAACACGCACACTTAACCTTGAAATAAGAATTTGGCAAGATATATATTGACTATTGAGCTTTTTCAGACCCATCCGAATCGCAACTTTGATCTTAATTACGATTAGTTTAACATGCATGCTTAAAGCAACAACTAGCAAAAGGAGAAAGAAATCACTACTCATTTCGTGGCAAAAGTAACTTCATCCTTTCATTTTCCTTGTTATCTTGAAGTGAGGTCCTTTGTTGTCTTCCCAAGTCATTAGTCACTTTAACCAAAAGTTCAAAACACCAACTCGGCACTTTAGGACAGGTAAACTCAAATTCACCATGCAATGTGAGAGTAACCAAACCAACAGTAAAAAATGTGAAATGAATAGTTACCGTTTCTTCAGCTAAAGAATAGACAAGAAATAACCGTTGGAGAAATAAATAGGAGTGGCTTTTGGTTTTGGTTAGTTGGATGCCAGGCTGACCTCTTCTTCTGGCCCCTTCTCTCTTCAGAAAAAAGATGATAATCTCACACATGGGTGTATCTGTGAACCTCTGGCCCATTTTCTCTCTCTCTAGTCTCTTCTTGGTCCAACCCATTTTCCAATGGCCCAATTCTTTTTCTGTGGTACCCAAAATACCCCTGGCTTATCCACACTCTTCTTCTTCTGGCTTTCTAATCCTCTGTTTTTTCCTTTATGTAAAGCACCCGTTGTACCACTAGCTTTCCACTAACCTCTCTTCTCAAAAAATTTCCACTACTCCTTCATCACTCTCTCGTTCACACTCTCCCAACTCAGGCAGCAATGTCGAAGGAAGTGAGCGAGGAGCCGCAAGCCCACCACCATGGCAAGGACTACGTCGACCCACCGCCAGCACCATTGTTGGACTTCGCCGAGATCAAGCTCTGGTCTTTCTACAGAGCTCTCATAGCCGAGTTCATCGCCACCCTCCTCTTCCTCTACGTCACCGTCGCCACCGTGATTGGGCACAAGAAGCAGACCGACCCGTGTGGCGGAGTTGGGCTTTTGGGCATCGCGTGGGCTTTCGGCGGCATGATCTTCATCCTTGTCTACTGCACCGCCGGCATCTCTGGTAAGCAAATTAGACATACAACAACAGCAACCCATTTCTGGTTTGGTCATGTAGATTCATGGGTTGGGGTAAAAATCTGAAATTTGTTTTTGTTTGTGTGTGTTTTTCTTCAGGTGGGCATATCAACCCAGCAGTGACATTTGGGCTGTTCCTGGCGAGGAAAGTGTCCTTGATTCGAGCTGTGTCTTACATGGTGGCTCAGTGCTTGGGCGCAATCTGCGGTGTTGGGCTGGTCAAGGCTTTCATGAAGCATCCTTACAACAGTCTCGGCGGTGGTGCGAACTCCATCGCCCCTGGCTACAGCACTGGCACGGCTTTGGGGGCTGAGATTATTGGGACGTTTGTGCTTGTCTACACCGTCTTCTCCGCCACTGACCCTAAAAGAAGCGCCCGTGACTCTCACATCCCTGTAAGTAGTCAAATTCCTCTGTTTCTTGAACATTTCGGTAATGAGATTTCAAGAGTTGGGGATGCTGATTTGGGTTTGTTTTGGACTTTTGGTGTAGGTGTTGGCTCCTCTGCCTATTGGGTTTGCAGTGTTCATGGTTCACTTGGCGACCATTCCTATTACTGGAACTGGAATCAACCCGGCTAGGAGCTTTGGCGCGGCTGTGATCTTCAACAACGACAAGATCTGGGATGACCATGTAAGTCTATTGTCTAGCTAGCTTCCTTAAAATTTCTACTCTGTTTTTGGGGTTTAGGGTTTGCTTACTGTGATTTTGATTTTTTTGTGGGGACAGTGGGTGTTCTGGGTCGGACCATTTGTTGGAGCACTAGCAGCAGCAGCATACCACCAGTATATTTTGAGGGCGGCGGCCATTAAAGCTTTGGGATCTTTCCGCAGCAACCCTACCAACTAGAAGGAAGCAACAACCCCCAGCCAAGCAGAGCTCCATGAACAGAACTTCCCTCTCCTTTGTTAATTATGTTTGAATTCCCCCCATTTGTTTTGTCGTTGGTGTGTATGTGAGATAGTAATTTTCCATGGCCGATGGTGAATGAAGATGATTATGTTAATTATTGATGGTTTGATGGATGGATGGATGTAATGAAATGGGTTTGGATGGATGGACGATCTTCTTTTGAAACTCTATCTCACCACTTCTCTCTACACATCATAATCTGGTTGGGCATTTGATTTCACCTTGGCTTTTGAAGAAAATGACTATTAACTTCGAGCATGAAATCCCTTAAACTGGATCCAACGAACTCCCCGAGTAGAGTGGTAACTGTGGTAAACGTTACAGTAGTTAGAAAGGACCAAGGAAAGAGAGAAGGTGGGAGAAGGACAGGGATGAGGGAACTCGGTTACCATTGGTTTGGGCAGAATAGGGAAATGTGGCAGGTTGAGGGTGTTGAAAGGCATAAAATAATGCATTGGGCTGGGTAAAATAATAATTGGGCTTTCTTCTTTTGCCGAATGGTCAATTCCATTGCCCCGTTAATGGTATCACTGTGAGCTGGCGTGGGCCTACACCCATCAGGTTAATGGGCCCATTGAGAGCGACACGTGTCAGTGGCTCATGAGGGTGTCAGGGTAAGTGTACTTGTATTGTATCACGTACAAAATTAGTTGTTAACCTATTATTAATGGTGTCGTTAGGTAGCCTTTCAATTCTGGATTTCTCATACAGGGGTTTCTTGTTTGCAAATGGATTAGAAAGATGAACACCCACTTTCCTCCACCTTCAACCAAAAGGCAAAAGGGAAAAGGCTTATCTTTCCGTTGGCTGCTCTCTTTTTCGAGTGTTGTTTCTTCTTTCACTTGATTTGGCAAAGCTCTGGCCCCTCATGGTAATTATTTTTTTTTTTTTTGCTGACGAGATTCGAAAGAGCTACGAGTAAGTACGAAATTCAAAAAATTAAAATTTGATCCTACATTTTGAACCTTCATTGCCGCAACCATCAGGTAGGGATGGCAATGGGTCGGGTTGGGGGCGAATAGTGCATATCCGTTACCCTACCTATAGTAGTTCAGGTATTACCCATACCCACATAAGAAGCGGGTAGAAAATCAAAACCATGTCCATACCCGTTTGGGTTTAGGGTATCCACGGGTAATAAGTTCTCTTTATAACTTGAACTAATATGTTACATTCACACGTATTCTCACATTACATAAGAGGAAAAGTACGACAATAATTCATTAGAATGAAGAAAATTAATTAAACAACACAATTTCATGAAAATACTATATTTATATGCTTAAATACAAAATATGTTAGAGAAAAATAATAATTATCTCTAGACAAAAAACATATGCATGTATATAATCGGTCAAGTTCGGGTTGGATAGGAAGAAAACCATGCCCACCCATTACCCGCAATATTCGGGTTTTACCCATACCCACTAAAAGTCCTTCGAGTTCGAGTTTTATCCTACTCGACTAGGTCGGATTCGAGCAAATATCTACGATTACAGATATTTTTGCCATCCCTACAAGATTCGGCAGAGTACATATCAAAACAAGCCAAAGAGAACGCTGGTTGTTAGAGAATTGTTAGTTGATCAAGTAAAAATTGATCCCTAAAAGAATGTCAAAGAACTACTAGTGACTCGTTGTATTATAGAGTTCTGCAAGACTGCAACATAGGCTGAAACCGATCACATGGAGGTGTTGGTTACTGGAAGGGAAGGATGGGCTGCAATTGGCCTGGCTCGGCGGCATAAACAAACCCCACCTTCCTTTTTTCCTTCTGCACTCTTTTCATTGGGAGTTGGGTGCAGTTGTGGTCCACACTCAAAAGGCTGACAAGGCTCCAAATAAAAAAAAAAAAGGAAAAGAAGTTCCAAAGGCAAATGGAGCAGTAAAATTAGCGAGCTAGCTACCACTCCTTTTCTCCTGTGTGGTCCGGACTCCTCCTTCTCCATTCCATTGGCAGTAAGAACCATACCCCAGTTCAGTTGCCAGTTTGGCCTTCTCAAGGCACAGCCATAAGAAAAAAGTGCCGTTGCCATCCTCCATTAGAGAGGTGGAAGATGGCAACAGTTAATCACGACCTTGCTTGCTTTGCTTCCCCGGGACAGGACTCTAATCATCCTCATTTGGACCAAAACTTCGTCCACCCCTATTTGGCAAACAAAACATGGAGGAATTCTAAGCGAAAAGGACCTCGAACAAAATAATTTGGTAATTTGGAGAACGATTGTGAAATATATTACAACTCTTGCTTAAAGTTAGAATGCCAATGAAGAAATAAATCGTGCAGAAATACTGACAAGGTACTTTATGATACACAAATCAGAGGAGATTGATTGCATTCTATCGTTCAGTTGAGGAAATTGAAAAGCCCTCCCCCAACTCGAAAGTTCAGGGAACGCTCAAATTCACAGATAACCGCAGAAAAAGTGAAGTACTTGGGGAAGCTTACCCAAAACAGTGCACCCCTGAGAGAGTGCGGCATAGTTTAGTCGGGCAGTGCAGTTCCCCTCTCGAGATTGTTCTTAATCTCCAGCGTGTATTTACCGAAGGCTCGCTCAATCTTCTTGTTGAAGTGCTCATTACGATCGTTGATAGAGTCGATATCCTTCTCTTCATGGAATCTCCTCCTTCGGCTGAATGATCCGCGTTTCGCATCCCGGTCCTTGAGTTCCTTCACCATTCTGTCAATCTTATCCTCTGAGATCTTTGGTGCCTGGCATCAGTTTACATTTCGCGAGGTAAATATGATTGTTCGCTATCTACAAAATCATATCCACCGGCAATCATACTATTGCAGCGAGGATTATTACCTTTCCGTATTGAAGACTTGAGGCGTCCCGGTAGAACTCAGGATCGGCTTCTTTCATCTTGTTATACTCTTCCAGGTCGACATTAACATTCTTTGTCCGCTTTTTATATGCATTATACAGAGTCCTCTGATTGAAAACTGGTAGAACATGAAGTACGATAAGCTTCAATCCCACTAGAGATCAACACGCATAAATGAAAGTGACTAATAAGAAATGCAGACTTACCATCCCAACCAAATGGAGCAGGATCTTTGTCCCATTTCTTGTACTTGACTTCTGCTGCCTCTTGTGTATCCAGCATATATGCCTTTGTCATGTCCAAGTCATTTGCATCAAGAAGTTTACCGATCTTCCTCTTCCTCTCCTCAAGCCATTTTTGTTTGGAAATGCCTCTCGACTCTTGAGGAGGTTCCAATCTCTTCTTTTCAGCCACCATTGCCATTTGATTGGCTTTCTTCGCCTCATACTGGATTTACAAACAAGCAAACAAAAATGGACAATCAGAGGTTGAGAAAGGGAAAGGAAGTTAGTCAAAACATATAGTCAAAAAGAACATCTCATGAAACAAACAAATCAAGATTCTTATTAGTTAAGAAGAATTCATACCATCTTACGCTTCAACTCATACAACTTTTTCCGCCTTCCAGTCAGTTTAGTAACATCTTCTTCCTGAAATTCCTCCACGCCTTGGTCATTTTTGTCACTGTGACTACCACCATCATCGTTAGAATCTGGTCTTTCGACAAGTTTATCTGTCCTTTCATCCGAAGAACGTGTACTGGCTTGATCACTCGCAGCTTGAGCTTGCTTGAACTCTGATACAAATTGGTCAACAACCATGAGAACACAGCCAAATAGCCAAGGGGCAATAATTATGAACACCAGTAATTAGTAAAGTAAAATTGAACAATCAAACTAAAAGAATAAGGGATGTACAAGCGAGCTTGATAACCCCGCTAAAAAGGGTCTCCCAAAGCTGTCAAGCAAAAGGATCTTCCGTACCTGCTTCTTTATCTGCTCTAGCTTTGGCTTCTGCAATCTTCTTGAAGCAGTACTCAACACACTCATGGTAAGGATTCGCCGCATTCATACAGTCAGGGTGAGCTCTCCTTTCGTCAGCCATGTTTACCGGAACCACTGTCGCCTTCCTCTGCACCACCAATCACTTCAGCCGCCTGCACGAGCCATTCCCAAATCGATTTTAGTTCCATCGCCATGACCATTCAGAACAATTCATAACAAAAGAAGGCATATCTGGATCTACTTCTCTTTCCGACGCAAATAAAGATTCAATTAGAAATCAGGACTTCTCCCCCGACTAAATGACTAAATTTATTGAGATTGAGAGACTTCCGAAACCCTAGGTAGCAGAAACCCCATCTCCGCCACACCAGCGGGAAACAAAGGGCGAGAAGATGAAAAAGGAGCAACAATTTGGCCGCAGGAGTTCCGCCTGACCTGTTTCACGCTTTCTTTGGGTGCAGTCTAGTTGAAGAGAGACAAGGATTCAAACACACGAGAGAAAAGTGAGCCGAGGAAGAGACGATTTGGTTTTGGCGCCGGGATGAACAGATCGTCGCCGCGGCTGCCTCCGGGTAAGGACAAAAGAGAGAAAGTGCCACGAGAGAGCAGGGATAAAAGAAAACTATTGGGCTAGTTTGTCGGCCCGGCCCGGCCCAGTTATTTTCAGTGTAGCCGTAAAAAATATAAAATAAACCGCGGAAAAGAATATTTCCGTTGCCGGGACTTGAACCCGGGTCTTTCGGGTGAGAGCCGAATATCCTGACCAACTAGACTACAACGGATTGGATGATTGTTAATGTCACGGTTTTTATATGTTCTTGGTTGAGTACAAAGTTTACAGTATATTTTTGTTCTCATTTGTAGATGATCAAACAGCTACATCAGAGTTAAGTTAACACTAAAAAGTATAAAAAGGTATTAAAAATGGCTTCTATTCATGGAAGGATCAAAATTTTACAGTGTGTGTACATTTCACCCATCAAATATGATGGAGAATAGGGTCTTTTGTGTAAGACCGCAGTTTATCGAAAGTAAAAACACTTCTAGTTCCTAGAAGTTGAGCTCAGTCTACAGCATATTCATGTGCAAGACAAGGCGATCACAAGTTCACAGTCGCTAGATGCTAAGAATGTGAGCAGTGGAGATTAGAGAAACGAGGCCAACTTTCCAGCAATAGCAAGCATGATGCTCAAGCTGCAATGTGAAGAAGCGAACTGCTTCAACACACAAGGCGCCCTCGTTCTTTCCGCTTCGTGATTCTCGCTTCTTCTTGGCACCAGTTGGAAATTCTAAAGGGGGTTTTTGCTGTTAACCCAATATCAGCATTATTCGACATGGTCGTGCTGCAAAAATTTCTGAAGATTGATGCTGTTGGCTTTCTGGGCCAATGTTGTGTTGAGTAACATGACTAGAGATTGGAGAAGCAGCCCCATATGAACAGGAATGCAACTTGCCACAGAAATGCGGCTGCTCAGTCCTAGCAACTTCATTACGCATGGAGCGTCGTGTTGCTGACTAAACTCTCCGATCAAGCCTGTTACAAAGTTGATAAAAGTGAATCAGTTCACATTAAGATTGAGAAATCATGTAGGCATCATAGACATACAAGAGTGAGTCATGGGAGGAGCAGAAAGCAAAGGACAATATAAAGTAGTCACTTTCCGAATGGTCAGAAACTAACACAGCCAGCTTGCATGCTCAAGCATACAAGCTCGTTTGCAACAAGTTCAATTCATCAGAGACTAACACTCTGTTCATGGAGAACCATTTCATAGCTTCCTGTTATAAATTCTGAATCTCAGGCCTCCCCTTTCATGATCAGAAGGTATGCAATATAACAGAATCCTGGAAGTCCATAGCAATTTCTCCAATATCATGAATGAAAGAAGGAAAAAAACAGCATTTGGTTCAGGGTCGGTAGTTACTCTAAGTTTGGTACAATTAACATAGTGCATCCCACACACATTCTTGGCCACAAAACCCTCATAGCAGCTTGACCAACCATCAAGGGAATGACTAATCCCTATAATAGACAAATGTATTGCTGTAAAAACAGCACCCATTTATGAGAGCATTTGTACCTTGCAAACAGCATACCCATCATGGACATAGAATACAGAGAAAGCAAATGACAAGAATGAAGCCAATTGACGTGGCGAATCTATATAAATCTGGAATTCCAAGCCAAGACCACTTGATACACCCAACTTTAGACTCAATTTGAGAGCAGATAAACCACTCATTTATATGTCCTAGTTTCGTTTAAAGGTTGTAAAGATCAGTTTCACAAGAAAAAAAGTTATGATACTGAATCGAGATTCCATTATACAGCAATAAAATAGACATACAATGAAAGACATGAAACAGATCATCACCTGTGCAGGTTTGTTGTATAGCGCCCACACCACATAGTAGTGTACATGGCCTTCAATTGATCGGCCAAATCATTCACAACTGTGCCAGCAATGTCACGGCAATCCAATGGTTAAGCACAAATCTCGCGACTTCAGCTTTGCCAATTCCCCCTTATCTTTCGAGCTAGATGGCCATATCGCCCCTTTTCAACCATCTGTTTAATTATGCCACGGGCTTCACGAAGCTTCCCAGCATTCCTCAAATTGCTAACTAAAGTTCTGTACACAAGAAAATTCGGACTACAACCTTTGGATTCCATCTCCTTAAGCATAGAAATCGCCACCTTATAATTCCCTGCCATACAATACCCACGAATCATTGAATTGTAAGTAAATGCATTTGGCAGCTGGCCTTTGGCGGTCATGTCATCAAACATGGCCTGAGCCTTTTCAAACTCTCCAGCCACTACATATGATGTGATTATTACAGTATAACAAACAACATCAGGCAAACATCCATTCTTCTTCATCGCATCCAAAAACCATTCACATGCTTGTAAATTGCCAGCCCTACTCAGTCCATCCATTAGCGTGGTGTAGTGGAGAACACAAGGATCAATACCTTCTTCCTTCATGTGGATCAATAACTTATGTGCAGCTATTGGTCTGTTAGCTTTACCAAGAACATGAAGAATTATGTTGTAGGTGTGGAAGTCCGGTGAAAATCCATTCCTCACCATGTCATCCACCATCCTCCAGACCTGGCCTAACTCCCCCAACCGATACTTTGCACACATGATGACATTATAAGTTAGAACATCTGGGTAAAGACCCTGGCCCAACATTTTCTGATGCACCCAGTCAATCAACCTGTAGTGACGAACTCCAAGAAGCGAGCAGATAATTGCATTATAGGAGTGCTTGAAGGGTCTATAATTAAACGTCTTTGATTGAATGAACCTCTCCACAACTCTTCGAGCCAAACCTGCCTCACCACAAGTACAAATTAATATGTTGAAAGTTCGTGCTGTAGTTGGGAAACCATTCTCAGTCATCTCATCGACCAGCCTCCACATGGCCATGAACTCATCACAGTCTGCAAAAATCTTCATTATCAGATTGTAGGAACTTGACGAGTGCCTGTAATTTTCCTGCTGACCAGACCATAAAAAGAACTTATACCCCAACTTCGCCCACCTCGCTTTGTTGTCAGGATTTATGGTCCTCAAAATCCCCACAAGAACCTCTCTCACAAGAATCCACGACACCTTCATGTTAAGCTCGGTTAACGCTGCTATAGTGTCAACTCCAGGACCATCTTGCATTAGAACTTCAATCACACGTTCAGCCTGGAACCTACCTTGCTGCCTCTCAGACCAACGACTCTCGATGTGGATCTCGAATTCACTTCGAGAATCGGGTCCTGAATCCCCCCACGTCATCTTGAGGGGCTCTTCAATCAACTGGAACCCATTATCCATCATGGCATCCACATCAGAGCTATAGTCACACAATTTCCTCGAAACTCCCAGGATACATGGAACTCTATGAACCAACCTCGTACCAAATAAGGCTACGACGTTCATCCTTTAACAAGACTGGACCCATTATTACAGAAAACTGGCCACAGTCGAAGAAACAGAGAAGAGTGCAAACTGCAGATTGGTGGCAGACCTAGATGCAGATAGCTTCAAAAGCCTCGTGCAAACTAATCGAGAGACACCCATCAAACTATGCAAGCAACCCAATTCGCGAGGAACAATTCTTATTCCAAATTTGAGCAGGTTCCACGATTCAACCTAACTTACGGTTGGTAAAAATGAAGAACAAGTATCATTTGATGCTCTTCCTGAAGTAAAGGCGTACCTGGAACAGAGAGATACTTTGTTCCGGTGAGAAGAAATCGGAGGTTTATTCTTCCCCCTTCTTTGTTCAGGAACTGGTGGAGTGGCGTCAGTGGACTGAGACTGAGAAGAGAAGGTATGAGCTTACGGCGAAAAACCCCTGGTTGCCTGAGAGGGTAGGGAAATCTCAACTGCTGCGCCCAAGATTACTGGTACTCGCCGAGTATTGGGCCAAGTCGTCGATGCCGATCTGATACCCAGTTTCCAATTTCGGGTCGTCTGGAACAAAATTAACTGGGGAAGGAGCTGAAGATCGAGGAGCCCAACAAGGTTCGAGGAAAGTTGGGGCGGCCCATCCAATGAGACATGAAGGAAAGAGACTGAGCTGGATAGACTTTTTTTTATTTACTTCCGAGTGATATCAAGAGAGTACAAGAGTTATACAAACAAAATTACCGAGAAATCTCTTACAAGTGACACCCAGGTGAAGCCATCCAAAAATCGAAAGACTTTAACTCTAAGAGAGACAATATCAGTGCTTTAAACGCCACTCTATGGGCAGCACTGTTGGCGGCTCTAGAAACCGCCCGAAATTCTATATAAACTAACAAAGAGTCTAGGATCTTACGACACTCCCGGAGCACCGGACATCTTAAGGAACCTTCAACGACACTTTGTCGGATCTGGTTGATGACCACATCGGAATCATCTTCCACCATCACGTGAGTCAAGGAACTTGAGGCGAGGATGGTGATAGCATCTCTAACGAGGAAGAGCTCTGTCAGATAGGGATTGACTACTGGTGATGTATAGCGCCTGCCAGTACCACATGCCCGCTTGACCCACGGACAACAAGACTAGATGAGCATCCTGCATCACGAACAACTACATCGAAGTTGATCTTCAAAAAGTCGTCTGGTGGAGGATCCCAAGTGGTGGGAGGAGGATTTGTGAGGAGCAATCTGGGAGGCGGAGGAGGGGGTGAATATTGGAGACTTCAAGGACATGGTTTTAGAACTGTCTGGCGAGGGAACGGACGTGGGGTTGGTAGAATTCAAAAACTACTTTATTTCTATACTTCCAGATTCTCCAAATTAAAACAGGCACATTCCAGAATGTGGAATGAGGAGATCTCATAGATCATGACATGTCACCACTCACCACCATAGACTAAGATCAACGGTCGGGGGCGAAATCAATGAAGTTGCTCAATCTCACTAAGGTCCACAACTTGGTGGCTATGAGGCATATGAAAAATACGTGTTCAGTGCTCTCTTGATGTCTCCGGCACAAGAGAAGGACGACCTCATAATAAGTGTTCAAATCTCTTTTAACTAAAATTAAAAATATCGCTTCAATGCTCGTGAAAATAGTTTAAGAGGGGGACGCCCCCATGATAATAAATAATTTATGTAATGGAAGGTAGAATTCCAATTCATGAGAAATTTTTTTGGTTGATTAAGCTAGGATTCGACGACGTTGACGATAAATTATTACCAATCGAATTCTCCATAATTATTGTCCCCACTCAGACATTCTCCCCATTAACTTGAAAATAATCGGATCATTAGTGTAGTCACAGGCCCAGACATAGTTACCCATTCAGCCAATCCAAATTTTCACCGCAAATTAAATTCTCCTTAGATCTCGCAGAGGGGAAGATTCCAACAATGGAATTTGGCTGCCATGTGCTAGCCTCTTTTTTATTTTATTTTTATAAAACCACATAATTAAGTTTTTATTAAATTTGGGCCAGGTACAAACCCGAACTCACGGGTACCCACCCGACCTAATCCGGTCAGCGCGGGTAAAATCCATGTTGACGGGTTTTGGACCGGGTTCGGGTTTAAACCCGCTGCACTATTCATCGGATCGGGTTGGGTTTGGGTTTAGGTAAACCCGCCTCATGGGTACCCGTCCACACACATATAATTACTTTTCCGATATATTTAATATTCTAAATAATATATCTTCCTTAAACAACTAATATTCTTTATGTTTGTGGAGACATGTATAATTTGTTCTTTCTAATTGTTTAGAATGAAGTTGATATGATGAAGTGGAGAGTGAAGAAACTTAGTTGACGAGGAAGAAGCTTTCAATTAATCTTATTGTTTATAGATGTTTATCTTTAATTTTGAACAATTTGTATTGATCATTTGCGGTTTGCTTCTATGCTCTAGATTAGTGTTTTTTGTATGATTAATTTGTATGAGAAAATTGATGTTAAACTTTTATTTTGAAAGAAACTTGTTATTGTAAACTTTTTACCACAAAAACCCACAGGTATCCATGAACCCCCGGATACCCAGCGGGTTGGGTTGAGTTTGAATTTTTCAAACCCAACTGGGTTTACCCCGGATTTTTTTGGCGGATAAACCCATGGGTTTGGGTTTGACAAAACCCGTCCCAACCCGACCCATTGCCATCCGAGGTACTGGCCTTAATCACTAAAAACTTGGAATTCCAAAACCGATAATGAAAGTGACCAATTAAACATACCAATAAAATGAGGTGGTCCACATAATTAAGGATTTAATCGGCCCATTATCCACCAATAAAGATGGTTTAATAGCCCACAAAGGCTTTAACGGCTTCTTCAATCTCCACGGGCGGCCAGATCTTCGATCATTTCTTCATCAATGTCATTGTCTTCTTTCCTACACGTACTTGGAGCTGCTTTTACAAGCAACGCCGCTCGTCCATAAATGTAAGTAGATTATCATTATCCAACTTAGTTAGTAAATATTTCATTTAATACGCATATATATGGATGTACGTATGTTGATGCCTCTCGTATTAAACACGTTTAATATTCATATTTATTGAATGAAATTGATAATTAAGCATTATTTATTTTAAAACAATTAACTTCTTATATACGTACCATTAATATATAGATTAAAGTTAATGACGTACATAATTATATGTACATACCACATTATGTTCTCCAATCATGCAGGCAGAGGCAGGGGCAATGTAAAAAGCAAGTAAAGAGATCAGAAGTTTTGAAAGAAACAAACTGAACGACGCCGTAAAGAGCAATTAAGAGATCAGAACTTTGAAACCAAAAATAACAACGCCGTTGCCGGGGATCGAACCCGGGTCACCCGGGTGACAGGCGGGAATACTTACCACTATACTACAACGACCTTGTTGTTTAGTTGAGATGATTAAAGATATAATTAATTTTTGTGCAGTGAGCTGCTTAATATATACGGTTTTCGATTTACAGAGCAATGGCGCGAATTTTGATTTCGTTTTCTGGAAGAGCAGAACGTTGGCCAATCTTCTCGCTTCTTCTTTCAGGTCTCTCTCCCTCTCAATCTCGCAGAGTCGACTTGGTGCGTTGTGATTCGGCGAGGAAATGCGAACTCGTTTCCTGAACATAGACTACTTCAGCTCTTGTTCGTCTTCGTCTTCGTCTTCTTCCGTCGAAACCCTAACTATCGTTGAGCTCCCGGTGCCCGACCTCGCGACTCCGCGTCTTTTCAATGTCGAGGAGGATTTCGATGGCTGCGAAGACGTCACTCCTTTTTCGCTCGAGATAGGGAAATTGCCTATCGAAGCTGCTCTATCGAGGTTTATTGCGGAAGTAGTGCCTCAGTTCGTTGATACTGCCGATTTCGGAGATGTCTGGTGTGAAGAAGATAAACGAGGTTCAGTTGGCGAGCTATGGTCCTTCGTCCTCGGCAGTGATCAGAACACACTCGACGAGGTAGATTTTGAGTATGCTTCAAATGATCGCCTGCATGAGTTGTTTTCATTTTCGTTCTGTGCTATTGATTAAAGTAGAATTCCGTCGTCTATGATGCCAGTTTGAATCTCGATCTAAGATAATGGAAGTTGGAAGGAAACGAGAAATTGAAGCAATCTTAGATCTGAGCAAGATATGTGGTAATCACAATTAAGTTAACATGACATGTCTGCATCCCGTTCTGTGGACACAGTTTGATGTAATTTGCAAGGGTAGCCAAGAATTCTTACCACAATGATGAAATTAGATCATAATTTACCGAGAGAATCACAGTATGCTGTTAATTCCATTATTATGATTGTTAATTCGTGGAGAACACGGTTTAAAGGCTACACAATTTGATTGCAGAAGGAGGAGGACGGTAGTTTTGTGGCAGATGAGAGCACAGAGGCTCATGAAGTCATACTGTTTGAAGCACCAGTGGTTGATGCATTTCTGGTAAGTTGTCAGAAATCAATCATCCGGATAGATCGAAAGTGCTTGTGTATGAAGTTTGTAAACTTATGCATATTGGTTGAATGGCTGCAGGGGGAGAGACACTCGTTCGTGGAGGGTTTGCAAAGTCTCTCTGAAGTTTCATACACTGAGAAAAAGCTGGTAAGTGTATGTGCATGTCACGCTAGTTTTAGTAATAATGTATGTGATTGGAATGCTCATCAGCCTTACCTGCTCGGTTTCAGTGTTTGTACCATCTAGTTGGTCCTTTTGAGTTCTTCTTTTGCTGGTTATTGGTGATGGATTTTCTTCACTGAGTTGTAAGTTTGTTTATTTTGGTTGTCTCCTGTCAATGTGTCTTTAAAAGGCATAATAAAGTTCGCTTGTGTTCTTCTGAGGGCTTATTCATTTAAGGATAGTCTCAGTTGTCCTGCTCGTTATTTATTTGATTGCCATGTTTACTTTCTTGTCATGTATTCTTTCAACTGTTAGACAATTCCTTAAGGCTTAAATAGTTGATACTTAAAACCAAAAGTTTTCCTTCTTCTTAGCAGTCTTTCCTATAAGCCAAGTTTTGAGTTTATGGGTTTTTGGTCCTGGATGCTTAATGACGTAGGCAACTTGACGATCCCTTTGTTTTTTACTTGCAGGACCTGCCTATTCCAGGTCTTCCAATGCAGCCTTATAACAAGATTCAGGAATCGATTTATTCAGTCGGTGATGTCTCTTTAGAGTATGACATCAATCAAATGCCCTATGCATGTGAAGATGATGGATCCATGCAGGGGCGAACATCCTCAAATCACGACTTATTCCCTACTTTAGAAGTTCATGAAACTAATCTTCGACCTATCACAGGATGCTTTAAGGAACACCAGTTTCTATCATTGCTAGAAAGCATGGAGACCCAGAGTGCCAGTACTGAGATGGAGGCCTTTGGATCTGTAAAGTGTGATATTTTTGAGGTTCCCTCAGACCATTGTCTATCAAAGGACTGCATAAACTCTGAGGTCACATCCTCTGATTCAATTCTACTAGTGAACGATATAACCATAGTGGACAGCATATGTCATCAAGAAGGCTCTGCTGTTTGTCCTCTTCCAACAGAGCCTATCACTTTTGAGGAGCTTGAATTTGTCGGGACACCCTTATCTCAACTTTGTGATATCTTCTTCAATATGCAAAAAAGTCTCGAATCAGAAAATTGTGACTTGATGACCCAGAAAGAATTGAACTTCAGGAATTTGAATGATTTGGTTGTTTCTTCTGAGCTGGCTCTGATAGATGGCACTTTCAGAACAATGCCTGCACCTATTCTTTCCGACCAGGATAGGATAAAATCAATGTATACCATCCTTGAAGAAGTGCTCACGGAACTAAAGGAGCAGCCCCTCTCTGCATCTAATGATATTTACTTGGATTGGCATTTTCTATATGGTGATTTGTGCAACTGTAAAATTGGCTGCCGCAGTATTCATGGATTGGAGGATTTGGATTCTCACACCCGAAAGCTGGATATGGAATTCTCTGATGATGGAAAGCCGATACTTGACTTCATTCTTTCTGATTTTACTTTGTTCAAGACGGATGAACATCAGGAATCACTTATTATTCTTCCTGAAGGCTTGCCTGGCTCTTCAAGTATGTGCCCAGGTGGTAAATTTCCAAAACCAGCAATGCTTAGACAACTGGATGTGGAAAATGGCGGGAAGACTTCAGCATTGTTCAAGTCCATGTCGCAATTGAATGATCTCGACCTTTTCTTGAATTGTGGGAAAGCAACTGCTAAGAAAAGAAATGAGCCAGCAGTTAAGGCACCCAACATACATCCCGTGCTTCCTGAGGTAAAATTCTTCAAAATTAAGTTGGAAAAGTGGATTTCTTATATAACCTTGACAATAAACTGATTCAACCAGGACTCAAGGAAACATCTTATAATTGATAGCATTTTCTTGTATACCTTGAGTATTTGTGATCATCAATGTAAAGCATGTGACTGATAGCATTTTCATGATCTCGTTTTAGATTTCAGGCACTGTTGAGTTATCATTTCCTGCGCCCTGTTATAGATAAACTAGAAACTTGATTAATGCTGCATTGTCCTTATCCTAGGAAGAAGTTTTCAATCGGGAAGAAAGTATGGGCCAACATAGTCTGAATGACCAACTGAACTCCAGACCTATGGATTATAACATAGAGAAAGGGTCTTCAGAGGCGACAGATGAAGGATCCATACAGCATCTTTTTGGTCCTAGCGCAGCTAACTCTAAGTGTACTCAAGGAAGCAAAGTTTCTGGCCCCAAGACTGTCATTGTTGTGAATACTCAAAACTTTGACAAGGAAATGATAATGTCCAGAAGAAGCATCTATAATAAGATTCTAGTAATGGAAAAGGACGGAACAGAAGTCGTAGAACGTGACATAGATCTTCCTGTGGACGTCCTGATAAATTCTGCCATGTGCCTGGCCTGGTATGATTGCAAAACTATAAGAAAGAATGCAACCACTTTTGAAGAAGCTTCGTCAGGCTTTCGTTTTTGCATTGAGAATATTGCCACACATGTTCTCACCTTGCTGAGTTTCACTTTCAGTGGCTGCATTCTGGTAATTGATTAAACTTTTTGTCTCGCTACCTTTATTTAATCTCTTCAACCAGTTGATGTTAAAAGTAGCACAAGGGGCACATGAATTTTTTTAATAAGTGCACCTTGAATGTGGTTCTCAAGACATAAATATCGTCTCTATTATCACAACTCTTCTTTCGTAGTAATTTTCCAAAATGTTCTGCTACCTACTGTAGGGGATCACATTGCCCGCACTTTTGTATGCTGAACTGTCACTAGATTGACGGATTTAGGAAATGAGACCAGAAGATGGTTCAGGCAGTGACATCAAGCAGGAACAACCTTTAGTTTTTGTAATGGTTTTTTACTGTGTGGCCATGCTATGAAAATGCTATGCTTTGTTGAATACTTGCAAGTTTCTGGAACTCAAGTTCTGGTTTCATTTCTGTTACGCTGTAGGTCTTTGAGGGGGAAATCAACTTTCTCTCTGCTGTGATGGAATCCTCGGATGGACTTTATGCCGCAGCAGCAGGCCTTGGAATAGATTTACAGATTTTCTGTTCATACTCATCGGAGTTGACCGGTGAAATAATTTTGGGCAGTGTCTTACATACAACCAAGGTGTCCAGGAGCATATGTCCTAAAATGCCTGAATCAGAAACCCTTGCAGAATCATTCCTCACCAAGTTCCCTTCAATTAATCCTCTGGCAGCTCATGCAATACTGTCTTCTGGAGGGACACTCATCGAGTTTCTTGAATACTCTCATGAGCGTAGGATCCTTGCACTCCAACAGCATCGTATTCCTGAAGAAAGCATATCACTGTTTAGTGCATTATGCAAATATGGTGAGGGGGAGGATTCTAAATCTGCATTGACAGACTCCCTCTCCTCCGTATCATCTGCAGCAAACTCCAACAAACATCATATGAGTCCACATTCTGAGAGGAAGAGAAAGAAATATGTCCATAGTCCCCCAAAGATGGGTATATGCATGGACAATGGGTGGCAGTTTCAACCAGCAGACAAAAATGATTGTTGGACGCCTGATGTAAAGGAGATTCGGGATGAGCCGAAACAGCCTATCCCACATCTGGCAGGCTTTTCTGGCCAGAAGCAAAAATCAAATGCTGATGTGGCTGTCAATTCTTGTAGTGTGCCAAAACCATACGATGCCTCTCGGCACTCAAGAGCTGCAAAGGTAATGGACAAATTGCCCAACAGAGGGATTTTTCTGAATCAGTTCTTGAGTCAAAACCAGGGATCTGATGTCAGTGAGAACCGGCATAAGGACTTCATGGGTGACATCATTGACCTCACTAATAGTCCCTCATTGGATAATGAGATTCCCTCTGCAAAAGATTCAGCATATTTCCCCTCATGGTTGCGTGAAGAAGATCAAGATTTTATTAGCAAACCTAAAGCTGCAAGAAAACTGGCATATGGCGGGAACAGCTTGTTTAGCTTCCCAACGGCTAGTGAGATAAATCCCAAAACAGATCTATGGGCGTCCTTTAAGGATCACGGCAAAAGCAGTTCGCTAGACGTTAAAGGTTTCTATGATGATGATTATAACCAACTTAAGTTTTCTTCCGAAGACCAGAGTGCAGACTTGAAAGAGTTTCCAGCACAAAGAAGTCGGGCAGGAAGTTCTGTTGGGTTGCCTCCTGAAGAGACGGCACATTTTGGCCCAGCATCACTCTCTAGAAACGTAGATAGCGAAACACCAATGTCTAAAGCCATTCATTCTTCCGAACCTCAGACTAGTTCACCGTGGACAATTGAGTTTCTTAACGGGATCAGAGAGAGGAGCAGATTGCGGAAGCTTTCATTGCAAAGCAATACATCTCCTGCCGCTCCTGGCTATACAATAGATGTATCTAAAGGTATAAAGAGGAGAAGCCCTTCCGTCATCGACTTTTTCAAGTACCAAGGAGGTCACACTCCTGATAGAAGATCTGGACCCATGAAGCAGAAGCCGCGTACTCGGTCATTAAGTGCATCAAGAATTGGGAGAGTTCAAGCATCAGTTTCTCCAATAAGGACTCCCATCGATAGAAGGGCAAAGCAGGTGATGTGGGGTTCCTATTGTTTAGTTGTGGACTTCATTCTCTCTTGTTTTTGGTCAGCTGGTTAAATATCATTCTCTCTTCCTTTTTAGCCAATGTTTCCTCACCATGTTCGCAAACTTTTTTCTTGCAGACACTGTCATTTGCAAAGAGTAGCAGTGGAAGCCAAACTAAGCTAGTATGGACTGATGGTGGTGTGAGGCGTTTGAACAAAAAGATGAGGAATCAGTAGCGAAATGTCATTCAGCAAATAGGTAGCAACACAGACTTCTTTGGATCAACATTGTGAAAAATGGAGGTTGGTATTCTGCAATAAAAATATCCTGACTTCTGTAACAATTGAGCCTGCTTATGTAATTATATTCTACATAAAAATCAAAATATATGCTCTCCTTTGATCAAATGGAAATATCAAGACACTGTATTAACTTTCAAATTGTACATCCGGTAGCAGGTCGATTTTCACATTTTAGAAGGACCAGTATAGATACTTCAGCCTCAATAAGGAAAATTTCAGCATGGTGGGAAAACATATATTTTATTAGTGCATTTTCCCTGACGATTTTATCAATTTGTAAATTTCGTGCCTGATGCCAGAGACACTGCCTGATTGCTACCACCATGGAATGATAAGGAGCAACAATCAACATTGATTACTGGTCTTACAGCAACAATTCCCTTTTAGCTCTTCTTACCAATTTTCAGGTTACGTACAGTCATGACCAATTGCTGCCTTTCTCCTTCTACCTCAGCAAATTTGAGGCTTATGTCTGAATATCTCACCTCCATTTCTTTCAATTCACTTTCCATGCGTCTGTTCCTTTCCTTGATCTGTGCTATCTCATCCAGCATTTCTGTCAGATTGCAGTTTTCCAGGAGTTGCTCTGTGTGTGTCTTTGCTTTCCTGTAGGAAAAAAATATTGAGAGGATTACTAATGTGACTATGTGAGGCAGCTCTGCGAAGAGCTGAGTCTGATTGCATTGAAAGTTGAACTAAAAAACTGGCCTATTGATGCACGCAAAAAAACCATCATAAGCTCAAAGGCGAATGGGGTAAACTTTACCAGTTATCAATGACCTCATTATCTGCGACCAAGCGATCATCTTCCTTCTTCTGTAGCTCCCCATTCAATTTAAGGATTTGCTTCCGCAGGCTCTCTTTCTCCAATTCTTCTTCTGACAGGCTATGTTTTAACTTATTATGCTGATCTTTAAGTCCTTCTATTTCCAACTGTAGCCTCATTAGCATTGTCTCCCTTTCATCCTTCATCGACCTCAGGTTTTCCAACTCTTCCCGAACTTCTTCTGCTTCTTGCTTTGCTGATGAATATTTTCTATCCAATTCTTTTTTCTCTTCGTTCTGTCTTCCAATCTCTAGTGTTGTTTCTCCAAGTGATGTCTGCTTGGAGGTGTCTGCTGTTGTGTGTGCTTCTAGTTTAGCTTTGAGCATTTGAATTTCCCTAGAGAAAGCTTCTTGCCTTTCTTTTTCTCGCTTCTGCACACTTTCCAGCTGCATTGACTTTTCTTCTACTTCCAATGATATCTCTTCCATCATTTTTGTCCTGAGATCAAGTTGAGTCAACAGTTCTTCCACTCGTACTTTGTTCTGGTCTCTGATTAGTGTAACTTCTTCATAAGCTTTGTTAAGCTTTTCTTCCATGATCCCATTTTGCTCCCGGAGCTTTTCTGATTCCATGTGAACACTCGTCATGTGCTTCTCATTATCTTCAATTTTACTTGCCATTTCCTGTGAAAGCTTTTTAAATTCCTCCTGGAGTCGCTCTGCTGTGACGCCATTTTCCCACATTGTCTTCCTCAAGGCCTCTTCTGCACGAACAGCTCTTTGCTCCTGCTCGATTTTGGCTTGGGTCAAATCATACAGATCTCTCTCGAATCCCACTGCCTGCTTCTCAAGCTCCTTCTCCAATGCTTTGACTTGACCTTCAAGCTCATTGATACGGAGCAATGATTCGGACTGCTCTTCTGTCTGCTCTCTCATCTTATGCTCTACTCTCCTTAGCTGTGATTCAAGTTCTCCAATAATAGCCAAATGTTCAGAACGTTCATTTTTCACCTTCAAATTTTGTTCCATGTTCTCCTCTAACTCAGAGGAGATCTCAAGGTTTTCTTGTTTTAGGTCCTCATAATCTTGTGTGAGATGCTCTATGTACTTCTCTAGCCTTCCCCTGCTCTCCTTATAGGCCTCTATTTCGTCAGACATGTCAGCTATCTGTTCTCTCAGCGCTTCACTGGTAGTGGTATCATCTTGATTTTCATCGGTTTCTGTGTTGCAACTACACTTTTGGCAGTGGACTTCTTTATCCTGATGATATGATTCTTCTAGCTTGCTGGTAAGCATAGATATTTCCATGCTTTTCCCCTTCAACATATCATCAAGGTCCTGCACAGCTAGAATCAACTCCGAATTTGATTCTTGTGTTTTCTGTAGCTGCAACTCGAGATTGACCTTCAACTCCTTTTCATGGGCAAGCTCCTTCCTCATCTCTTCTATCTTCACCCTTGACCCTTCATTTGATGTCTTTACTCGGTCCAGAGCCTCTGCTTCTACTGTCTTCCTCGAGAGCTTGAGTTGTTCACATTCTCTTTCCAGTGCATCTCGCTCCTCCTTAATGTCCATCATTTCTTTTGATAAATCTTGTGCTCTTTTGGTCTCTTTCGTTACTTGTTTCCGAAGAGTCTGCAATTCCATTTCTGATAACTCTGACTGTCGCATTAGACCAAAGATTTCACTTTTAAGCTTCTGAACGGATTGATCTCTACCTTCGTGGAACTGTTTTGGAACATTGTTATTATCATCACCAGGGCTGTTTGTTGAATCAACTAAACTTTCGTCTGATGCTGAGGCCATTGACCATTCTGTGTTAGATCTTCTGTGTAGGCGGTTCTTTGTTGTTGTTGAATTTACATCAATCGATGCCCTCTGAGGCATCGAGTTTTGTCTCCCAACTGACTTGAAGCTGCTTTCATTAGAGCCGATGGATGCTTTGAAGTTGTCCTCTTCTTCAAAGTCATCTATCTCCTGCTTCCATGACAATAATGAAATTAGTACTTCAGTATGACATGGAGGATACATCATCCGTCTATAAAAAAATGTTAAAGATGTGCTACTGAATGACAAGAAAAAATGGATCTTTTAAACCTACTTCTGCGAAATTCTTGTCATCTATGTCTGAACGATCATTGCTCGATAGGCTCATCAACCTTTCATCCTGAGGTAGTGCTGCTTCTCCATTACTTGCCCTGTTTCTGAAATACTTTCACAGTATTGCATATTAATATAGGGAATCAATTCAGGCGTGCAAGTAAAATTTCGACAGAGAACATAATAAAAAAGAGCATTATCAGTTTTTGTTTGTACCTCTGATCGATGCCTCCTTGAATCTTATGAACTGTTATCTGTTCCATTGATGCAGAAATATGAATTTGTTCAGAGTGGAAAATGGTTCAATTAGAGCAAGAGTCTAGACACAGAAATTAGTAATCTTCTGGTTCTAAACATGTAATTGTGTGCGAGAAGGAGGCAGAGCATACATGTAAAACTGCACCAGAATTTGCAAACTTCAGTGGCAGAGAGACAGTCATTGGTTCATTTTCGTCAGCAAAATCTGCAAAATCAATTGATGATTCTCCAAGATAATCTTTCTTGGCTGATCCCTGCAAAAAAGGTCAGCAGGTGTCAAGCTTCAAGCAGAGGAAGATACAATACAACCGGTAAGTGCAGAAGCACGGCTTACACTAGAAACAATGAAGTGATATATTTTCTCGTGCAGCTTTCCTGTTTTGGGCTCCCTAACGAGTTTAACTGTCACATATATAGGATTCTCCCACAAGCAGTTCCCATCTTGAACTGCAGTTTTCTGCAACTTGAATGTGGGCTTCCCAACATCCTCCGGCACCAAAGACACAGTCAGAGCAGGCTTCTTCAACTGTGGTACCTGAGAAATGCAGGTGTGGAACCAGTTTGACAGTAAGTCACCCAAATCACTGGATCAGATTATGACATTATACAATTATGCATAAACTAGAATATCCATCTTGAATTGACTTGACTTGAGCAGAAACCCACTAGAGATTCGACAGCAAGAAACTCTTTTATCTTCTTAATAGATTCATACCTGGGTTGCCTGAAACTGCAGCTGAAACACTGCTTTGAACTTCTTCTCCTTGCTCCTCCATGACTTAAACATGTTTCCTTTCCTTTAAGGCTTCCCCACCTTATTCTGGGCTTTTGCAAAGAATCCTCATGAAAATGCTCCCACCTGGGGAGCTTCTTTCTGACAGATTGTACCTCAGTCAGGCCCAGGCACAAAAACAATGCCTGGTTCTTCAGAAGCAACCGAGAAAAATCCAGAAAACACAGTGAGAAAGCAAAGGAGAAGAAGACGGCAGGTTTCGTCCTTTTGTGGCTTCTGTTAAACTAGTTACGTTTGCAAAAAGAACCCGTTACAGTATGAAGCAGGGAAAACTAAACCCAACTAAAAAAAAGAAGAACAAGAGCTCTCTCTCTCTCTTGCAGACTTTATTGCCATATCGTGTGTTTATTATTACGCAAAACTAGCTGGATTTGTTCCCAATTGTTATTTTATGGTTATGGATCTTGGTTTTCTTTATAATGCAGGAAAGTACTAGGTGCTGAAGATTAAAGACACCCATGTCCCTACATTTCAGTGATATATCTTCATCAGCCACCTTGGTCTCCGGGTAGAAATCTCTTGTATGTCCCTAGAGCATCGTTGGCGTCTTGGCGACAGGGATGCCAAGGTGTCGGAGGCAAAGAATTTCATTCAGAAATCACAAAGCAAAAAGTGGTGCCCTCTTAAAGTCAAGTTCATCCGTCCCACGAGAGGTATTTCTCTCCTACCCCCCACCATTTAATTGACGCAACTGCATTCATCCGTATGTACTGTCCCCAATAATTGCGATGAAACATGCTCTACTCTGCGAGAAAGGACCAGTAGTAGGAGCCAGAGGTTAAAGATTATGCCATAATGGTTCAGTGCTAAAAAATTTCTAAAGATTCCTCGGTCAATGCCCATTGTGTTTAATTTGTAGATGGCCATTATGGCAAATGAGCAGTTGAGACTGCCAAAAGATTAGGAGTTTGTTGAGGATGCAAAAAATCTGAGGTTGGTGTAGTTAGAGAACTAAAAATCATCTTTGTCAATTCGATTAGGAGTTTCTATAAGCACGTGCTTAGATCGTTGACATGTGATTCTTAGTCGTTAGATTGTATGTAGCGTCAATCGTTCACGTTTAAGTACGAGAATAAAAATTTCGTTAACCCGTCGTTTGTCCAAATTTATCTTTTTTTTCAAGAGCCATAGTCGGCCCCAGAAAAGGCACCGGATGCCTTTACCTTCCACAAAGCTGCAGCACATCCTCATCGTGTTCCAGCAATGCAAAATATTAGAAAAATGCCTGCCACATCTTTGGGTTGGTTGCATTATTTTTTGTGGTAAAAACTACACTCAGGTTGGCCAGTTTATGTTAAAGCACGTTGTCACATGTGCTATGGCCACCTTCTCTTTCCTGCATACCCCCTAATCTGATGACCATTATCTCGATCCAATTCCACAAAACAAAGCCATGTTTCTTCCTGTACTCATAGACAACGAATACCAAACAATACGTGTGTAGGATCCCACCTGGGTTTTCTTTATTCTGTCTTTTACTTAATCGAGACCGTCTTTTTTCCCCACTTCAAATGACCATATTTTTTCTTTCATGCTGATCATGCATACAGGAAGTCAACTACCAACGGTAATACACCATTACTGTCAGAGCCGTAGTAAAGGAATCTGCTGCATCTCTACATCATTTCTCTACCCAAAACCAAACGGCAGACAGTCACGCGAGTCAACTCGTCCCGGACTCGGATGAAGCTTCATGATGGGTTAATTGGTTATAAGGTACGCCATGCTTTTCCCTTTTTTACCCAACTGCAATTGTGAATGACAGTTCAATTCCTACCTATAACTTTTCCATTTTGCTGTGCTGTTACTGTTGCCATGACTTGCTCTTTAACTGCCAAACCAAACACACGGGGTTCGGCCTGGAAAGTTACCCGCTAGCTTTCTGTACATGACCAGTTTTGCTGCCTGGGCAGCTTACCCATTGCTTCTTTACTAACCAGATAGTGATTGAGGATAACAGATCATCCACGATTTGTTTTCCCTAGTGCATTTCAAGCCTTTCAGTCCCAATCAGTTCAATCGGGTCTACTGATATTCTCCCCATTCTTTTACTATAATACAAAGCTAGCACCTACCATATTCCTCCCCATTTAAGAAGGTTTTTTTTAATTAGAAGAAACATCGTTGAGTGAGGAAACCATATTATACTGTTTCAACCTACATTTCCATTATGAGATCATAATACAGATTTGGAGTTTAGTAGCTTCCATGCCCTCTGTATAGCTGCCACAGACTACCAACCGAATGGATTCTATCGACTAGGAAGAAGATAAGGATCAGTAGGAAAGCAGAAGGTTCTTATAATCATTGGCTTTTAGTATTTCTTATAAGGTATGTAACAGCACTGCAGTAAGAGTTGTCATAGTGGGGAAATTAGTATTTTATGAAGGGAAGGTGAAATAGGAAGAGAGGCATTGGATTCTGGTGGAAGAATGAATGTGTTAAAATAGATTGGTGAGGGGAAAATGATTGAATCATTGATGCAAACATCGTGGCTGTCTTCACGCTTGAAAATGATGGAAGTTGAAAAAAAATAAATTGTTTGCGTCCTTTTGTGAACACCTTTTACTTGTGCCATTGTTAAGGTCAGTAGGTCCTAAGTCCTTGTTTTAGGTGCTCCATTGCCCATTGGAAATCCTATACATGGGGTGTGAGTCCTTAACCTGTAATCCAGAGTTGAAACTCTGATTTGCGTGTGTCATAGCTATAGCTTCATTGGTTAAAAGAAGTGTTACCCAACATCCATTCATTATTCTTAAGTTTAGGTGTTTAGTCACTAATTTTCGACCATATAATAAAATGCCTATTAATTTACTTCGAATTCGATAGAGTTCAAATGGCGGTAACATTTTTTTTATCTTGGTACAAGGTGTAAGTTATATATACACTTGTGTAACTGTAACTTAAAGTTTGCCTAGGTGATTTCTTGTCTTTCTACTCTTGTATAGGAAACTTGGAAGGAATTAGACATTGTGAGTTGTGAGTCTCTAATGTTTGGAGTAAAAATGAGATGACTGATTATATTTGGAAAGGTATCAAAGCGCAAAGTCCAGTTATATTATGATAGCGGCCTACCCAGCTTTCTATGAGTGTCAAGCCCATTTTGATGGGCCTTTAGCCCTAATGAAGTAGGGATACCAACTGGTGTAAGGTTATAGCTCTGGTGGCCCATTCTTGCAGGCCTGGTTTTGTGGAAACAGTCAGAGTTGCAATCTCTTGTACACCTGGAAACAAGAGGCTGTGAGTCTGACTGTAGTTATTATTATTTCTTTTGATGGAAGTTCTTTTATTTTACTTATAGAAATCATGATTAATTTAGTGACTCAAGTACCTAAAAGCAAAATACTTTTTGAAAATTTTCTAAAAAGAACTGCATTCTTTTATGAAAAAAGCAGGTTTTGATATTAATAGAGATGGATTTCATAGAAAATGGATTAATGGGTTGAAGTTTCTAGATAATTAGCCTTATTAACAGTGGTGAAGTAACAATTCAGTATTTTTATCCCCTAATAATTTGTGATTTTAACTTAACGAGCTTAGCTGGTTTGATAGTGGACGAAATAGATTCACTTTACCTCTTAATGTCAATTCCAGTACATTACAGCTGTCTAACTAACAAGAGCTTTTCCCTCAAAAACTAACAAGAGCTTCAAGTAGCGACCGCAAGAAACATCCAAAGTAGAATTTTTTTTTCCTTTCAGTCTGGAGCTCTGGATCTTTTTCACTAGTCGCCAAGGTTGTCGACCCACGGGTCGACCCAATTTGACCCTGACCCGGTGAGAAAAACGGGACGGCCGCACTCGTCGGGCCGACCGCTATAAGGTACCGGGTTGGAGGTCAAATTGTGTCATTTTTTTCTTTAGTTTGCGAAATGCGCTTATTTTTCAATTTTTCTTTTCGCCTAACTCAATCTTTGGAATACTAAGTTGAACATTTGAATATTTATGTTATATAAATGTGTGTGAATTTTCACTATATGTTGGATCTAAGTACGATATGTTATTTTGGTGTAATATCATATGTTATAACTCATATGTTAGATAAGATTTGATATAATTTATGAGGATAAGTACAATATAATGACTCTTTCTATATTTTCGGGCCAAACCGGGCTAAAATGATTGACCCATTAACCCTTGACCCACTAGCTCGACCGGGTCCGGGTCCGGGTCAACCTGCGGGTTGACAACCTTGCTAGTCGCCCTTCCAGTGACGTCACTGATGACTGCATCTTGTTTCAGATTTTGGAAACCTAACCCCAACGACGTAGTATCGCTAGTCGTCGCGCTAACCCTCGGACAGTTGCAAGAATCATGCGCTAGATCCTCTCTGGATCTAGAAGTTCATCCATCTGTGCTCTCCACAGTCCACACCTTCTACAATTTATTTGGTCAGCCTCCATTGCTTTCTCAGAAGGGCTCAAAATCCTAGGCTCTTCTTATCAGCTACTCGACTATACCCACGTGGCAAAGATCCACTCTTTTGGGAGGTCTCCCCTCCATCTGACGGTCATCTCTTTGCATCATTTTCATCAATTGGTAGAGACATCGGAGACGTGGCTAACACAGACCCCAAATCCAGACATTAAACTCACTCCCTCCCTCCCTCCCTCCCTCCTGTCTAGTGTAGTCTCTCGGCAATCCTGAGCAACAGCAGTCTGTTCTTTCTGGGGAGAGAGGAATAAGAAGAACCAGAAGAGAGAAGATGGCTTTAGCAGTAAAGGCATTACCTTTCACGTTTGTGGCGCACGCGATTGCGGTCGTGGCTGCAGTCATGGTTTTGGTTTGGTGCATCCACTTCAGAGGCGGCTTAGCTTGGGAGGACACCAACAAAAACCTTATCTTCAATGTAAGTTATGACTAACCCTACTCTCTGAATCTCATGCTTCTAATTAATCTCTTCTTTCTGTCTGCCTGTTCATTCTAAGTCTGCAAGTCCAGTCAGTGGTCATCAGTTCATCTCTAATCCCAACTCCAAATGGGTTTTACTTGCTTGTGGTCAGTGATTTCGTATGCTGACTGCTGTTGGGAAAATGGTTTGCTCTTACATGATTGATTTGTGGCACTTGCATCTCAATCTTTCCTGATCTGAGTAAGCTCTTACATTGAGGCTGATCATACTAGGCCGTTTTCTTTGTAAGCAATTGGGATTTGAAGGTTTGGACTTTTGCTTAGATTCTTTCTCTTTTACCTGTCAATGACCATCATCCAGTTAGTTAGACTCAGATTAACAGAGTGGTCTGTGAATCTAAGAGTTACTAGAAATAAACCAGAAAAAGCTATCTCCAGAGAAAATTTTAAGGGGGAATCTATCAATTTGGCCAATTCAAGTTACCAGCTGGACTCTTAGTATCCCCTTCCCTTTGCTCTGTTCTGAAAAGTAAGACAGCTGATCTTCTCATTTCTGGCAATCGTTCTTGATTTTTTATCTCCTTGTTCGTTAGTATCTAACTTGAGAAGAAGATAAATGAAGAAACTTCCGTAAAACAAAGAGAGAACCCATGTGAATCTTTCCATCCAAGATGATCTTACTGATTGTTCACACTAAATTGCTAATATTTATACTTTCAAGGAACCTTCTTTTATTGTCCATTTGGTACACACTTGAGCTCATCTTCAGTTCTGCCCGCTGATGGCTGGCATTGCTGTTTCACGTGGATTTGTCTTGGGACTTTAGCTCAGCTCCTCCGTGTTCTCTAGGCAGTTATTATGGAACAAAAAATATATTCAGATTTTACCATCCACATGTGAAACTTCAACAGTTCCTTATGATGTGAGCAACTTTGGAGACCTTTTTACATGATTGCTAATGAGCATATTGTACATATTCCTTATGAGTAGCAGGATCCTATTGTGTTACTCTCCTCAGGTCAAAAGATGTCTGATTTCATGATGTACACTGATTCATGGGGTAGTTAGGTTTCAATGTGTGTATCTGATTGACACTTATAATGCTTACTGGAGACTGATCTTATTGTTGAATTTGATGCTTGCAGCTTCACCCCGTGCTGATGCTGATCGGCCTTATCATCATAGGAGGCGAAGGTATCTCCACGATGCGCTGCTGATTTCATTTCCATTTTCCTTGCATCATACTCCTTTCAATGCTAACCATTTCATCTTGCTGGGTACCCAATACAAAATGGCAGCTATAATAAGCTACAAATCTCTCCCTCTGAAGAAACAAGAGAAGAAACTCATCCACCTGGTCCTCCATGCCGTTGCACTCATCCTCGGAATCATTGGCATCTACACGGCATTCAAATTCCACAACGAAAGCGGCATCGCCAATCTCTACAGTTTGCACTCCTGGCTTGGCATCCTCGTCATTTCCCTTTACGGCATCCAGGTAAAGATCCCACTATCCAGTCAGAGTTGCAATGCTTTAAAAACTGACATATAATTCAGCAAAAACTAAACCGGTTGCGAATTTTGCAGTGGGTATATGGATTCCTCATCTTCTTCTACCCCGGAGGTTCGAGCGCCCTTAGGAGCGCGTCCCTTCCCTGGCATGTGCTGGTCGGGCTGTTTGCATTTGTATTGGCAGTCGGCACTGCAGCAATCGGGTTCCTTGAGAAGCTGACTTTCCTTCAGAACTCCGGACTGGCTAAGTACGGATCCGAGGCTTTGCTTGTGAACTTCACTGCTGTGGTCACCATTCTGTATGGTGCCTTCGTCATGCTGTCTGTACTCGGTCAGAAGCAGGCTGAAGATGACTACTATACAGCCATATAAGTAAAGCCTAGAGAATCTGGTTTGTGTATTGGAGGAGGGAAAAGAACGAGGTTTGATCTGGTAATATTGCGTAGTACCCGTTCCACGGTGTAATGTACAATCGGCACGATGGATCCTGTAATGTAGAGCTTATTTCTATGTGTGTGTATATTTGGCCATGGTGATTCTCTTATGTTACAAGTTACAACAGAAGTGAGGAGACGGGAATGGAAATTTTGCCAGGAAAGTGGGAAGCTCGCTGATGTTCATTCACGAAGAATGAAGTAGAAAAACCAAATCACTGTTTTCAGGGATTGGGCTTTTCGGGTTGCCGTCAGTGGGCTTTCACCTGGCGCTGGTCCAACTTGAGAGGACAGCCGAAATCCCATATGGGCTTTTGTTTTTGGGCGAGTACCATTGGACTCTTTAAGGGATGGGCCTACGCTTACATTCTAATGATTCTAGTCTAAGCACCATTTCGTTTTCGTCCACGATAAGAAACGATGTTTTTTTTATTTCATAGTGTCATAGTGATATCAATGGAAAATAATAGTTAAGCTTACAATTCTATCCAGGACCCCCTAAAAGACTCTAAAGAAGCCACCCAAAAAAATCAAAAGATTCTAGCTCTACACGAGACAAAAGCAGTGCTTTACGCGCCACTCTATGGGCAGCACTGTTGGCGGATCTAGGTACCGCCCTAAACTCTATACAAACAGACAAAGAGCTAAGGATCTGAAGACACTCTCGTAACACCGGACCACCAATCGAGTCTTCTAAGACGCCTTGACGGGCTTGGATGACGACCACTTCGGAATCACCTTTGACTATCGCGTGGGTCAAGGAGCTTGAGGCTACAAAGGAGATAGCATCCCTGAAAGCTAGAAGCTCTGCCAGATAAGGGTTGACTATTCCTTGATGCTGCAACCCGAACGCCAACATCACATGTCCGTCTGACCCACGGATAACAAGCCCATACGAGCACCCGAAGGCACAAACAGCTGCGTCGACGTTGATCTTCAAAAAGCCTTCTGGTGGAGGGACTCAAATGGTGGCAGGAAGGTAGAGAGCTGCGGGGAGGAAGGGGGAGAAGAAGACTGGAGATTCGAGGACCTGGAAGTAGAACTGTCTGACTAGCAAATACAAAGAAAACGATTCTATCGGATTTATCTCCCTAGAATAATTTTATACAATGAAATTTTTTAAAAACCGCTCAACTTTGCTTACAGCGTCCCGTGATTGTCGAATTATTTACGTGCGATTTAATAGGGGCAAAGCATTGTACGCAGATTCTCGCATCAGCATTCACCCGTGGCCCGTGGGCATGCCCCGACGGACTTGCTCACAGTGAACTATGATGGCTTGCTTTTGCGACCATCAGGGTCCACCGCTGCAGGAGGTACGCTCAGAGACGGGTATGATAGCTTTTAGGAGCCTACGTGATGAACCTGAGAAAATGTACGATCACTCGCGCGAAGCTATGGGGCGCTCTTAACGGACTACAGCTAGCCTGGGATACAAGATACATGATACAGGAAAGTCGAGCTACGACTCGACTCGACGACTGTGGTCACATGCTATCTGCAACTGCGTCAACGGACCACCAACATGCTAGCATCATCCTTGCTTTCAGGGAGCTTCAACAGCGAAACCGGGAGACAAGAGTGACGCATATCTATAGAGAGGCCAACTTTCTGGCTGACAATTTGGCTCACTGTGGCCATAGTTTACCGTTAGGGACTCATGCTATTATCCCTTTTGATCCGAACATTGGCCATTAATTTTTGTATGACGCTGTTGGTGATTTTACGGTTCCCTTGATAAGTGAGGGATAACGGTGCTTTGCACCGTTTTTCACAACAACAAAAAAATCAGCCGTGGGCATTTTAGCAGAATTTGTTTCCGTCAAAGCAAGCTTTTGCAACTCATTATCATCATCGAGACTCTCTCTTACTTTTTTTCAAAAATTTTGCTCTGTCTTCTCTCTTCTCCTCCAGCCCCTCTGCTTGGAACTTTGCAGGGGTTGCCGCCGGCACCTCTTGGTGACCGGCGGTAGCCCATTTTTCTTTCCTCTTCCTTGTTTTTTATGCTTTCTTGCCACTGGTTTGGCCTTTTTCAATCGGATTTTCCAGCTTTTTAGCTACTCCTGCCTTTATGGCCTTTCGTTGCCCTGTTCTAGGGTTCCTTTCTGGATTTGCTCTCCTTGGGGCTGGGTTATGCATCTAGAGGTCTCCTCTCTAGATGGTGGGTTCAACAACATGCATGGTGAATCGCTTGGTAGTCTTCTGCCTCTTGGTCGGCGTCGGTGGAAGGAAGACGGTGTCTGGCCCTTCTGACTGCGGTTTCAGACCTTGGATTTTGGAGTTTGGGTTCCTCTTCTCCCTTGACCAAGTTCTTGGTGCCTCGTCTTCCTCTGCTTTTTCAGCTCGGAGCATTTCGATCCTCTACCCTTTCCACCGCCATGTAATCCCTCATAAGAGATTCACTGTGTTGAGCGTCTTCGAGCGACTCCCAGGAGGCGGCCTTTGGCGTTGTATTCAATTGTCATGGACTCGGTCGGATCAGACGAGCTGATTTTGCTTGGTGCTCTTTGATTGGTTTGTTTGCAAGGGAGCTTTCGGTGTCTTCTGGATCTGATTCAAGTGTTGCTGATGTTTTGGGTTGATATTTTCTGTGTTATGTTCTTCTCTTTTTGTATTTCTTTAACACAGATTGTACAACCGTAAGCTTGTGTTTGGCTTGCCTTGATCTTTTCTGAGCTTCTTTGTTTGGCTTCTCTTGTAACTTGTCTTTGAAAGAGCCATACAATTAAATCCTTTGTCCAAAAAAAAAAAAAGCAAGCTTTTGCAGACAAATTTTTTGTGGCAGATTTTAGAAGCAACAGGTTTTTGGTTGCGGCAGGATTCGGTGGGTGTGGGCCGGCATGAGACAGTGACACATGTCTTCCCGGGATCGAGGGGAATCTTTGAGAATCCAGGGACCCCACAACGTGGCAGATTGTTATTTGTTAGTTCACATCTCTGTCCTACAACCCGTCGCAACAGCTCACCACTGAAGTGTCGGTCCTCCATTTTGTCTCGCACAAACACTCACGCGACTTGCGCCCCCCGTTAAAACCTTTTTTCCACTTCACCCTAATTGCCTCTCTACGCTCACAGCACACGGTTTTAATTGTTGGACTTTTGGTTGATTGTATTGATTTTCCAGCCCCAGGACAGATAATCTTTTTTTCTGGGTAACGAGGTCCTCCAGTTGCCCTAATCTATACACACGTTGTGTATGTGTCAAGGAGGGTATGGTTTGGACTTTTGTATCTAATCTACACATAATATAATACGCCGAAGGGAAAAACGGGAGCCCCATTTCAAATTTCGTGCAACGAGAGTGAATGTAGGAAGGACATTTTGCTCTTCACAATTACTTTTTTTTATTCATTAAAAAGACAAGTACTGGGATTCAAACCATGACCATTTTAAAGAAAAGCAAGGATCATAACCAATCACACTAAGTACATTTGTTGTATCTTTTTAAATTAAAAACATATAATAGCAGGGAGGAAAAAACCCTTCCCCCATTTCAAATTCCCTTCTCCAGGAGCGTTTGTAGGAAAGGTAGAATAGAGATGAATGGGCTAACCGCTAACCATAAAATAAAAGAGTTGAATGGGTCAAAACGGGCCATCAAGTAAAACAAATGAACATCATTGGTTTGACATTCTAAAACAAGCTATTTTCTGTGACATAATATATATTGTGCTATTATTTTATATCTTAGTGGCTAAAATATAATGTATTTTAAAGTTATTTAATGGTTCAACCTCAACCAACCCAATTAGTCCAATTTTTATCATTTCAAATATATATTATATAATTATTTGATATCATAATGATCAAATTATAGTGTATTTTATAGGGAATCGTTTGGTATTTGTTAGTTAAAAACTAAACAGAAAGATCTATTTGGTTATTTTAAACATTAAAACGATCCTAAACATTTTCAGTTCCTTTTGAATTTCTATGGTTTATTCCCGAATAAGTTATGTGCAAATGGCGAATTGCAGTCATCTCTTTTCTTTCACTATTTTTTATTTTCAAATAGAAAATTTAAAAATAAAGAATAATTAGAATTTGGCATGAGTCGGTCAAACAGGCTGAATTTCAAGTTTTGGCCCGTTTTGATCAAGTCTAATTTATAATTACATGGTTCCCTGATACCCGATAAAAATCTCAATCCAAACCAGTTTGGCAGGTGAGTCCGTGTTTACCACCATTTTCTAGGGATACGACAAAGGCGGTTCCTATCCCAAATCGTATTGTTCGTTCTTGATTTCCTTAGATTTTATCATGGTCTGACAAAAACCAGAAAGCACAATGACGACAAGTTGAAAGTTTTATAAAGAAAATTAATCGGCCAATGGGCCGAGTAAAAGCTAGCAACAATTGTGAGATGCTCATTTCCTGAAAACTTACGGGATAAGCGATTTTTTATTCTATTTTCTCGAATTCGGTTTCTATAAAACTTACTCCACCTCATCATATTACCAGAAACAATATTGTTTCACAAGGTAACAGGTACTTGATTTTGGTTATCAAGGCCGATTTTTGATTTGTTGCATCATTCATGTCTCTTTCCTGCTAAAATAAACTATTTTTATCACGTGTTTTCCAAAAAAACTATACAGCAATAAGCTATACACCCCATTATATTATCAAATTTCATACCTCACATTCCTCCGGCCAACTGGGCGGGGCCCACGCTAGTAGTTAATAGGTGGTTTGTTTCGTGGATTTGAAAAATGAAGGTTTTGGTAAATTTTGGGTTTTGTAAAATTATGGATATATGAGGACTTGAAAAATATCATTGTTTGTTTCATAGATTTCATGATCGAATTGGTTAATTAGATTTGTACGTATGAAGTGAAATTTACCTTTATTGTCCTCATTGGTTTGAGAAGAGAAATGAAATCGAAAGGGGTAGTTTGGTTTGGTATTAAATGATGAAATTCAACGTTCATGATCAATTCCCACCTAAAGAGGCGGAACTTTTAAGTCCGCGGGGTCCACGGATTTGAACTCTTAAAGTTTGTGGGACCCACAAATTCGTTGCTCCTAAATACATGAAGCAAAAAATGAATTTTTGACAAAGTCCATGATGGATCCAAATCCATCACCAAATCCATCAAGCAAACAACCCCTCGTGGATTTGGATGATG